ATTAAATTTTTTTTTTTCACGGGCCGCGGTTCAGGTGCAACCCGCGAAGCCCGCGGGTCACACCTCATTGACCCGTGAACCACTCGCTCTGGTCACAGGTCGGCCCGCGGTGCCGGGTCGATCCGGACTGATTTTCACGGATCTGGTCGGCATATCCGTCTTGACACATCTATCCAAGTCTACCCTAAAACTCACCACCCTCTTTGCATTCTACTTCTTGCTGGCCTTTGTTGGTGCCACTAGTGAGTTCCTTCTCTTTTTTGTTAAATCGATGCTTATATGTTTAGATAACTTAATTTTGTCCCATATGCTGGTTGAATATGAATTCAGACTATAAGTTTTATTGTCACCAATTTATAAAATATTGTGGTTATGTTACGTCCTTAAGGAGGGGACATGTTGAAGATTAAATGAATAAGTATGTTCTATATCTATTTGTTTATGTTTTTTTAAGATGAGGTGGTTCAACAATGTTTGTTTTTCTTATAGCTGTTTTTTAGCTGTATTAATTGTTTGTCTTGAAAAATTCTGAAGTTTGGTGAAGTATTGGGTACTTCATAGAAGGCCAATGGAAGGTTTAACATGTAAGAAAGTTAGTGAAGTTGGGTTAACTTGTTGGAGCACTCCGTGATTCTAATGGAGTTGAAGGGAGCATTGGCTGATATACCTTCAAATTTAGACTCACCTTAGCTGATTGTTAAACATTATGCTTAACACTTTGGGCCCAATGATGCAATTCAGCCCAAATTGATGGAATGTAACCCGGCTACCTCTTTTCATTTTGTGCATTCTCGCCTTTTACTGAAATGCGACTTTGGTTATTAACTTTAAAGGCTGTGATGATGCCATTTGGAAGTGATGTAACCGTTGGATGCTTCTGAAATTTTATATTATTTGGCCTGACTCTTCATTTGCTGAAGGTTCGAGATATCGTCTAGGATTTCTCTTATTTTCTATCCTCTCTCTAAAAACTTTTGATTTTCGTTTGTAATCTGTTGGTTCTAGATATTTTTGGTGAAATCTAGTGTAGATTGCTTTGTAATTGTGGTAATTCTGATCTTGGTTGAGTAGTAACTTTTGGTTACTTGGTGTAATTGGGTTGAGATTTCTTGAGAGAAGAAAACTGGGTCTGAAGACTAAATCCGTTTGGGTTTTGGTATTGTGACTCTTGTACTGATAATCTATGTTGGTTTATAGTGGATTAGAGCAATTACCACTTTGGTGGATGCTCAACGTGGTGATTAGCATTTTCTAGGGTGAACCTCCCAGCCTAAAGGCAAAAAATCCTTGATTTTCTTTAATTTCTATTTTATTCTTGGTGTTATCTGCGACTGTTTATTCCAACACTGATGATTGTGGCAGTCTCTGCCATGCCATTTGAAATGAATTGTGTTGAACAACCTCATTTGAAAGTCAGTTGCAGGTCATGCTTATCCTACATAAATAAAAGAGTAATTTTCTTTTCACTATTCACAAGTCGTTTGGCCATCGAAGCCAAGCCGAGTTGGTTGAGCCGCGTTAGCCGAGCCATTTTTTTTTTTTTTAACGTTTGATTCAGTATTTTAAATTACAAAT